GGTGCATGACAAGTTAGTTATTCTATTTCTTATACCATGTGGACATTTGTCTTCTATCCAGTTATTCTTCTGTTATGTGATAGGCTCAACTGGGTGAATCATTGCAACCTTCCAGCATGTGTGTGTGAGAGAGAGACAGAGACAGAGACAGAGACAGAGACAGAGACTATGGTATGGCCATTTCTTCAGATAGACTGACTGGGAAAATTTACAGCACTTTACTTTCTTTGTGTCCTTAGAGTTGAGTCACCATTTTAAATTCCCTCTGACCTTTATCATGTGCTTATTCTTATATATGCATTTTTGTTTTATATTTTTGGTTAATGTTATGCTTCAAGATCTCCATTATCCATGAGTCTCATCTCTTGATTGACTCAAACTGGACAAAGCCAGCGATTCAACGATTCAGGATTATATTGATTAAACAGCTGACTTCACTCATTATTCCACATTTGCTGTGGTGGTATCAGTATATTTCATTAATGGAACTAGCTTCGGGGCAACATAATCATTAAATTATGGATTGCTTTCTGACTCCTTTGACCCAAACTGAGTAATGAAGTAAAAAGCTGCCCTTGAAAAAAAAAAAAGGCATTACTTTGATTCCCTGTTGGGTATCATTAGAATACACCTTATTCAGAGATATTCCACAGCCTCCTTGAATACAGGCTTTCTGACCAAGGAATGGGGGCTGAAGTGGTAAATTTGTAATGATGTAGGCTTTCAGACTCCAGGAAAGGCACAAACACAGACCATATGGCAAGGAGGCTTTGGCTGAAAAGCAGATGAAATGATAAAGGGATTTTGGAAATATACTGTACCCTAATCCCAGACAATTCTGTGGACCTTGCTAAGACAGTGAATGATATATGCTTTGACCTACAAGTTCAACTCTTCTATGTTCCTCAAAACAATTTCTTTAAGTAGGGTCTTTGGATCATCAAAATGATTAAAGATACTAGCTGAGAATGCAGATTCCGTGGCCCTGCTCCAAGTTTTATGATTCTGACTCTTTGAAGTAAGTGTAAGGGAATCTCCTTTTCAGAAAGTGCCACATGGAGCTTCACTGAAATGTTTGCAGTGGTGTTTACCAAGGGTAACAATCCTCTTTCTGATGTCCATAACAAAATGAGCAGAACAAACCTTTCAAAAAAAAACTTGTGGCAGCACCATAAAGCTGTGGTTATTAAGGCTGAAGACTCGTTTTTCTGATGGGATGGGGAGTGTTAGCCATTTTATCCGGAACCAGAACAATATCAAACTCATTTTAGCATGTTTCATTTCCTCTAATTTCTTTGCAGACTTCTGTTATCGTACAGTCCCTTACCAATGACATCTTACTCCACCATAGCTCCAGATACATAGTGCTCTTTCTGATTCTTTCTCTAGTGTGTTATTTTTGACACTGTGAAAGAAAATAAATAAATTGGAACAATGGGCCATCAAGATTACAAGATGCCAACAATACCAAGGTATTAAAGAGAGAAATGGCCGATGCTGAAACCTATAACTCAGCATGCAAATTGGCAAAAACATTTATCTGCCACAGATTCATTCACCAGGGGGAAAATAATTTCCTCCATTTTTTTCTTAGAAAACTGTTATGTCAAGATGACGAAAAACTCATCCTATAAATTCACAAAAAATTTCTTATTAATTCTAACAAAGATCAAACATAGGGCCAATGTTATTCAAATTCCGTGACAATGCATCCAGTGGTAGAGAATGCCAACACTTGGCTCCTCTACTCTACTAGACACCGAATTGGGAGACTGAAGTGACAGCAAAGAAAAGTTTATGAAAATCAAAATTTGACTTGCATTGTAGGAACTGTAGTAGAGTAATTTTGCAAACTAATATACCTGCCATTTCTTCCCTCACCTCACCCCTTGGAGCATGCCCTGCTCAGAAAAATAAATATACAAAAGAGCACTCCGAGGGGTGGAGTGTCTGGAGAAGCAAACAATACCCGGAACCATATGCAGGGATGGCAAAGGGATTGGAGAATGAGCAGACACCTGCCTGTGGGAAAGAATGCTTATGAATCAAATAAGGCCCACTAGCACGTGGAAAATTTCACGTGGGCCCTCTTTTAATCAAGTGTTGCTTCAAAATGAGTCAGCCGGTATAGGCATTCCACCTTGAAAGCATGTACACTCTTCCTCCCTTTTAAAAACTCTGCATGCATGCATTTCCAGTAAAGATAGCTATGCTCACATTCAGAAGACTACGTCACAGCATGTTTGTGAGTCACTTCATTGGATCAGTTATTACGAGAAATCAGTGCATTCTTCTTCTGAGCAGTAGAAGAGCTAACTAGGATGATCATGTTAACATTTTTATTTTCCCTTTTCCTCTGCTGTTCGCATATTGTTCTCTTCCTATTAGTGGGTAGGAGGACTTTATAAATATGTCCATCTAGGGAATATGTTCCTGGCTTCAGGAGACTAATATCCATTTAGGGAATGACCTCCCCAAGTTCCTTGGATTTAGCTTTATAGGATTTCTTAGAAGGCAGCCCAAACTAAGGCTCTGCACATCTAGCTTCATTCATTTGACAATCCAGTACTATTCATTTCTTGATATCAACAATGTACAGCCCCTGTCAAAATCTACAGTAATAACTGAACTTTTTGTAAGTGTTCTGTCTGTCTGTCTGTGACTGAACTCAAGGCTCTGAAGCTAGAGATAGCAAAGTGTTTGTTCTCATGGTTCACTTGGCCAAAGCTCATTTCCAGTGTGTAGAAGACTGTAAGGAGCACAATGGATAACCCTATTCCAAAGGGGACCTAAGACTTTATCTTCTTGGTGCCATCTCAAAGCCCTTTACTGATCCAGGCTATCTCCTGATCATGCCAGTACCCCCACACATGAAGGCCATGTCTTTCGTCTTTTCTGTTTAAACTTTTTCACCATGGGGCAAGAGCCATGTTACAGTTAATGCCAAATAAAAGTGATATGTTGTTTTCAACAGATTTCTACTACTAAGCTTGTTCACTGTGGGTACAAAAGAGTACCAGCAGGAAAAAAAATGCCATAACAACAGAGCCTGGAGGACATTGCTACAATACTTTGGATGCATCATTCCATTTGCTATGTGTCGACTGTAGTAGAAGCAGTGGATTGATGGCCAGCTCCGTTCTTGAGTGCCTGCCTGTCTTGATACTATTATGATCAGGGCTGAAATTTAAAGGAACTTGGGACTTTGGCCAATTTATTTAAATCTCAGACTCCCTGACAGCCTTTTCAGTGAGTCAGTCAATGATCATCTGGTCAACAGTTTATATCCAGTGTCTTCTTGACCCATTAAGACCCATGATGCTTCATAGTATCTCCCATAATAACTATGATGATATTTTTGATGTACCATGAACAAACATTGAGAGAATAAAGATGCATTAGTAGGCTTTACACACAAAGCTATCTATCAACTATCTGTTAAAATATTAATACACAAGAGAACACTTTCATAAATGATAATTTTCCTGGCAACTCAGCACACGAAGGAAACTTTCTTTTTCACGTAAATAAAATTTTAAACTTCACTTGAAGCTTCAGGACAAGAAAATATTGCCTTACCCTATTACCCACCTGTGTAGTCAAGAATTGCAAAAAAAAAATTCGAAAAGACAATCATATACTAACAGGTATCAATAAATCAACGAGGAGATTCTTAAATAATAAATGTGCCTACATGGAAGTTTTCAGAAAGAAGAAACTGGTCATTAGATTTTTCTTCCATAGACATTTTCTGGTTGCCTTTATTACCTGTGCTACACATTCACACATGCACACAAATGCATACCCACCCACACACACACACATACAAAAAACAAAACAAAAAAATCAGGAATGCTTGGCACACAATAGTGACAAATCATTTTTTTCAGTTACCACTGAGATGTGTGAGGAATGCTGGAAATCGAAAGTTGTCTTTGGACATCCATTTAGCACAAATGAACAAAAGAACTGTTGGTAGGTTAATAGAAGACAGAGTCACATGAATAGGTATCAATAAATAAATTGTTAACACACTGTTAACAATTTCTTTTGGATGGTATCTATACAAGTTAGGAATATTAAAAAAAAAATCTTAAAAAGTCAAATTAGTAACTTTTGTGCTCCAGCCACCCACTTGGGTCATTACAGACGTTGTAGAAATGGTACAACTAAATCGTAGCATGGCTACAGCCCAATCCCCAGGATCCCAAAGGCATCCGTGCCTGGCTACAAGCAAGCAACAATGTACAGGTATAGTTTAAAGTTCTTATGAGAAATGAAGCATGTGGGGTTACAATGCCTCTCAAACAAGCAAACAGAAGGCTGGACAATTCTTTAATTACTGTGTGTTGTTCATAGTTTCACAAGTCATCGGAGACAAAGAGAACTTGCCTGAATTATATAAAAGGCCTCATCAATAAAGTGTGGGCAAGTTAGAACTCTGAGTCAGGTAGAGAATGATGATCGGCCTTGTAAGGATGGAGAAGGCTGAGTGCGGGGCTTATCAAAGCTATGTTTATGGATGTGAACGTTTGCTTGTCTGTTACACACAAACAAGGTTAGACTAGCTCATCTCACCAACGTAGGGAAAGAGCCTGAGGGTATTTAATTCAAAATAAGAATGAGGATTTGTTGATGACTGGTGGTGGAGGGGGAGGGGACTTATTCAGCATTAGAAAGTGTTGCCAAGGGAGGCTGGGAAGTCTGCCCAGGAGGGTTTTAATAAAGGGGCAGAGGCTCCTTTGTCTGAAGTGCTCTTACGTGGGTGGCTGGCAGCAGGGTGGAGCCTTCCGCTGCCCAGGGCTTGGGTCATGTGCATCGTTGTGCATATATACAGACATATACTGTGCTTGTGCTGCACAAATGCTCATGCATACAGACTCAGTAGAAACTGGCACACAGAGATTTAAGTGAAAAAAAATCATAAAAACCTGCCATTCTCCCCTCACCCCATAAACAAAAGGAAAGGAGCAATAAAAAATAAAAATCTTAACATGCCACTGGGTCATATCTCCTGCCCATCCTTGGCCAACGAAAGGAGGCAGAAAATGAGAGGAAACAAAACAAAAAAACCCCGGTTTGGGATAGATGACTCCCAAAGCCTCTCAGTACATGGGACCAAGTTAATAAAAGAGAAAGGACAACACAAGAGCTTGCTTTTGGTTCCACATCTGGAAAAAAAAAAATCTACCCTGTGGATTTACACGTTAAGGTGAGCTAGGCAAAGTAGGCAGTAGTACATCAATGAACTATTGTGTTCTAACAAATGTGGATCGCTAGTTGTTATTTTTCCTTCAACATATGTCTTCCTTTTGGGAGGTTTATTTCAAAGTGGTGACTACCCCCAGCCCTCCCCTAAAGGCGATACTTCCGTAGAAGTTCAGACTGCCAAGGATGCTTTCTCTCAGGGAAGCGATCTGGAATTTTGATCTTCAGGAAATCCTGGATGCATTTCTCCAGCTCTTCCTCGATGGACAGCTTTTCCTTCGCAGCTTTCTTTTTGTTGCTTATGTTCGATTCCCTGGAGCCCGACGTCAGAGTCCGGAGCAGGTCACTTTTCCGCCTCATCTCTGACTGTTGGATCAGCTGCACCGGACCCTTCTTCATAGGCCGGTCCAGAGTCTGGATGTTGCTCTGGCGCGTTACAGGACCACAGATCACTGTCTCCTGGGGAGAGCTGGCCTCTGACTGGCTGTCGCAGCTGGAAGTGGAGAGGTCATTGCAGGAGGTGCCACTTTCCCCTTTGTCTCCTTTGCCATTCTTGCAGCAGCAATCACAATGAGAGGAGGCCCACCTGGAAGGCTCACCTGCAAGACAAACACAGACCCAAAGAATGAATGCCTGTAACTCAGGGTGATGGAGCGCCAGAAAGCAGGAGTACTCAGAGAATGCAGGTGTTTCACACCACCAACACCCAGAAGCTCAGCCTTCTAAGGGATGTCCGACCATTACTAAGAGCCGACTGTGTATCTAGTAGAATGTGGTATCATGCTTAAGGCCACCTGTACCGGCCTAGGCAGAAATATTCAGGGAGCCCATTTACCAGCCCTGGTACCTGACAGACCCAAAATTGTAAGGCTTCAGTTCTATCAGCAGTAACGCCATAATTATAGTTTTCTTATTACCTCGGAGTTTTAGTGATGATTTCAATGAGATAAGCAAGACGGAGTAGTATACAGTTTTCTCAGAAAATGCTTTTCAATTTTACCATGGGTAACATTAAACCCTCATCTAAGGCTCTGCCTATTAGCACTCAGGGCACCAGGAGGAGGCTGTTTAAGAGGAATGCAGTGGCCAGTGAAGAGGGCTCCCGCCCGGCCCTGCATCTCATTGGTCTCCGACCATGCTATGAGCACAAGGAGCTCCACTTAGTACTTAAACACATGAAAACTCTCAGACCCACAGAGATTAACTAATGTGCCCTAGTTTGGCTAGTTTGTTCATGGAAGAGCTGGGGTTTGAATACAGACGGCCCAAGTGTTATAACCGAGTCAATTAACTGCTTCCTGAAACAAATGTCCTGTCTGTAAAATTCTTGCTTCTCAAAATACTGTTCAAGTGTGAATCTCCCTGAAGTCCTTGTTCCTCTCTCCTAAAAGTGTTTGCTCCCCCCACAGGTATGGCTATATTTTTTAAGTATCTTAAGTAGTGCATGTGATGTTTCTCACCAGCTACTAAACCGCCATCTTCCTAATGCAGTTGTGGTGGTAGCATGTTCCTTGTTGTAGGTCTAACGAATCACTCAAGGGTTAGTAAAGAAACGCAGCAACACACGGTATCTTGGAACTAACCTCTAAGTAGCTGGGTCTAGCCATACCTGAAGCTAGTCTTGTCAGTTATATGATTCTCCTAATTCCCTTTCTTACTGAAACCAATGTGACAAGACCTTCTGTCCCTATTCCGTAAGGCTTGACTCTTCAAATTGAGTTCAGTATTTTGCAGGCAGAGTAATATTTTTAGATGCATAGTTGCTGGTTCCATGAACTTTGAAAAATCCACAATAATGGCACAAAGGAACTCTTTTAAACATAAGTTATAGCCCCTAGCCTTCCAGTGTCTGAATAGCCCCAGGCCTCCTGGAGTCATACTATGCACTGCTCGTACATTACTAGTTGGGCATTTCAGATCACCCACTTCACTGATGCCTTAAAAATATGAAGGGATACAATACCCTCATGATATCAATGTCATAGAAATATAACGAAATATTTTATATTCCAGACACAGGGAGTCTTATGGAGGAAGGAGGAAATAGAAAGACATGGAGGTGACAGGAATGTCACAAGGAGACCTACAAAGCCCAAAATTTGGGCCCTGGGCGAGGAGGAGAGCTGCAGAGACTGATGCACCAACCAAGGTCCATGAATGGAGAGGACCTAGACCCTGCAGATGTAGTCCATGGCAGCTCAGTGTCCATGTGGGTCCTGAGTACAGCAAGCAGGGGCTGTCTCTGACATGAACTCAGCTTCCTGCTCTTTGATCACTTGCCCCTGGTGATGCAGTCTTGCCAGGCCACAGAGGAAGAGGATCCAGACCGTCCTGATAAGACTTGATAAGCTATGGGCAGATGTCAGGGGAGGAGGACTCCTGCTTTCAGTGAACTAGAGGAAAGGGATAGAGGGGAAGAGGAAGGAAGGATGGGACTCAGAGGAGATGAGGGAGGGGGCTGCAATTAGGACAAAAAATGATAAATTGTAAAAAATAAAAATTTAAAAATATCCAGTTTTGATTTTGCTGTGTCTTATTCTTATAAACCATGTGTGTCATTATGAAAATGTTTAGCTCATTGCCATTTCTAATATGGTCCAGGTAGAAAAGAAACTAAAAAGTTACCCCTTGACTTATTATATAATTTCTATGTTTTACATGTATAAATGATTTCACACATGGCAACTTGTCATATTTATTCAAAGGAAGTAAAAAAAAACATTTTTGTAAATCATAACCTCAGAATACCAAACTTTTATCCATTCATTCAAGCCACTTTCTACCACATGACTGAGCAATCATTGTACTTATACAGCTATTAAATTAAATGTAACTATCCAGTTAGCCAAAAGGAATTATAATAGCAGTAATGTCATAGCTATTCTCAGTTATTACAAATATCTTCTGTGCAACAGAGAAAATGCTCAACATGTTCCAGCTGGTGCCTGGGAATATCTGCAATGAAAAGCACTTTTGATCTGCCAGGGGATACTGAGAGGAACATTTCTCACCTCTAATCGGCAGAAACTGCCTCAGCTGCCTGACAACATGGTCATTCTTGTACTAATCCAACTCAGAGTAGGATGGTCCCAATGAATTGGACTACATAAAAGCAATCACATCAGATCAGAGTTCATCTAACTTGGTCCATTGATGAATGTTTAGAAATTAAATTTAGCATTGAGTGGAAGAATAAAGAAAGGAATAGGATACAGAAAAAAAAGCAGAAAAACGGGCATATACATATTTTATGGTCTATACATACTATCTATTACCTTAAAACAAAGTGACAAAATACTTGACCTGCTGAGCCAATAGAAACATATGTTCATGCCCAGGAGTTCTTTACCTCAAGGAAGTCCCTCGGTTCACCAGGCTCCAAAGGAGCCTTGAGTCTTTTTAAAAGCCATTTAACACCCCATCCATACGTGATGGAGCCCTATGCATTAATGCATAACCTTGCTTTGCATAGGAATCCAGGGATCTGGCACTTCTGCAGTTGGGCTCCTAAAGCTGCTGGGAAGGTCATGCCTTTAAGTGGGATTCCCCAGCTTTCAGGAAAAAAGAAGTATTGCTCTCCATTTGTTCTGGGCATTATCACTCTTACAAGGAAACTGGACAACTTAATTTGAGAGTAGCTTGTCACAATACTACACATTTCAATATTTCACAAGAACATTTGAATATTTTACCATTTGGGCAAGATAATTCATAAAATAGCTTCTGAAGTCTATGTGTTATTTTGAAATCAAGGAACACGATGGGATCACTACAGTTCAGATAGAGCCAACATGAAAATTGGAAATCGTCATGGTGAACACAGAAATTCTTCACACTTTCCAGTTATCTTCTTTCCTAAAACACAACTGAAACAGAGGTATGAAACTAGGTTGGAACGAGGCTGCATGCATGGGACCTGTGCCCTTTCAATCCTTCTGAGGCATACTTACAACCCTTAAGGAGTCTTAAAAGAGCTATGCAAGGTCAGCTCTGTACCAATAGGTACTCTAGGGTCACTCCAGTTAGAGAGAACAGCAGTATCACAAATACCCCGGTGATTCATATTTAAACACACTCACTTCTAATTTGAGAGGTTTCAACACTGGTTAGAGTCTTTCTACTTAGCAAAAAAAAAAAAAAGTGGTTGATTGGACAAATGTGGGAGAAATTTATTTCTTTCAAAGAAAAATCTAACTTCATTATATTAAAAATAGAAAAATGCATTGCCTTTTAGAGGTTTATTAATTGATAGACCTAATGTTTGATAATGCCACTTTGTTTTTAAATAATTACATCTGAATTTGAGGACTTCTGTGACAATTTTGATGTCTGGCACATAACAGGACCTTAAATAGGTGATGAATGAAGAAATGTGTTAAAAATGAACTTTCAGATATTTCAAATTGGAAACATAACAGAAAAGCTCTCAGGCTCTAGCATCAGGCAGCACGATTAGACAACTATCGGTCTTTGGGTATATTACTAAAGATCTCTGAGAGTTATCTGAAAAATAAAGAAACCAATAGTTTTTGTTTACAGGTGTTTGAAAAAAAAATGAAATGAAATCATTGATGTAAAGGTTGTCTGAGTCCATAGCACAGAATACATACTCTATTCATTCATATATTTTGGTATACTGCAAGCCAGACCCCAATCTCCATAAACACTCTAACTAGAAATGTGCTGTTAATGAAACTGTTAAGATGATGATTCTCCTACAAATGTTCTGTACAATCAATATGTACTGATGGCCTCAAGGATCTCATTAAGAAGGACCTGTGGCTATAGCTGGACACAGTAGGAAAAAATGAGTATCATCTGGTAATGCCTGATTGGACTGGAATGGAGAATAACCATAAGTACAGAGAGGATTTGACAAGTACCATGTGACCAGGGAAATTTCTGGAAAGAAGGAGTCTTCCATTGAAGCATTTAAAGTTAACAAATAGATGAGTCCGCTACTATAAAAATTTACTTGAGCTATTTAAATGCAGGACAGGAAGAAATTTATATTTTAAATTAAATGCATGGCAAGTGAAAAAAAATCAGTTTTCCAAATATCTACATCCAAATCTTTGAGCATTTTACATCTTGCCAACATGAAGGACTTTTCAGGCAGATGGTATGACCGAGGTGTTCTAGCTTCCACCAAGCCCTGAGTGCAGTAGTTTTTACTGGTAAGAAACAAGAAAGAAAAGACTACAAAATATGCCTCCTCCATGAAAAATTCAAGGCCAGCCTGAGTGAGACATGACTTAGCAAACTCACAAAGTGCTTATGCATTTTTAAAGGAGGCATCTCTGTAATCTACCCACACTTCAAATTCCCCACCTGCTAATGGCTGTGAGTACAATGTACTACGTTATAGCAGCAGCTGGGAGAAATGTCCTCCATGACTTCTCCATCAATGATGTAGGAGCCTGCCAGTCTGGGAGAGAGGTGACCAGATTTAATTTATCAAGGCTGCTAAAAGATACTCACAGTTAAAAAGTCAGTAACTAGTAAATTGATGTTTTTCTAATTCCCCTAAACTTTGAAAATA